ACTGAGCAGTGGGGAAAGAAATTTACCTTAAGAACTAGAATTTTATTGAATAGTTCTGATTGTGTATCTTAGCTGAGAAGATAATGCACATTAAACGTGCTTTTCCAAATTACAAAGTAGTAACAAATGGCAATCACTAGCTTTTTTCATTAAAAAAACCCCAATATTGTAGTGATATATGTTCAGGAGGACAAAGGAGAAAGGAAAAAAAAAAAAGATACCTATTGTAGTTTCAGTAATACCTTGACATAATTAGTTATAAAAGTCATATTAAATTAAATATCCATATATATTATTAGATCACACATCCAAATGATTGAGATTCTGAAGAAAATTTCTTAGTCATAAGGAGATGCCAGATTTATTTTAGCAAGCTATAATTAACTGAGAGCAAAATTTCAGCATTTGAGAAAGTAAGTATATTTTATTCAGTGCTTAATCCTTACATTCTTTGCTGTAAGCCAGAGTTTCACATTTTTTTTTTTTTTTTGGTCTTTTTTTCGTGACCGGCAACGGATCACAACCCTCAGTGTCGCTCCTGTACTGGACCGGGACCGGCAACGGGATCACAACCCTCGGTGTTGCCCCCGCACCTCGCTCAGCCAGTGAGCGGCCGGTCTGCATGTGGGATCCGAACCCTCGGCGGGAGCGCGGCCGCACTTCCCAAGCGGCGCACTGCAGCAGTGTGCCACCGGGCTGGCCCCAGAGTTTCACATTTTAAATTTGAATTTAAATACTATCCCATTTTTTGAAATTAATCTTATTTTGTGAGATACCCCCAAAAGGGGATTTTTTTCTCTAGTACAAAATTTAGTTGCTTTAATCTAAAATAAATATATCAGGGGCCAGCCAGACACCAAGGTCAAGAGTTCAGATCCCCATACCGGCCAGCCACCAAACAAAACAAAGCAAAATATGTCAGAAATTGTCTAACAACAAATATGACTACTAGAAAATTGCTAGGCAAACTATCATTGGTACAGGTTGAGTATCCCGTATCCGACATGGTCAGAACCAGAAGTATTTCAGACTTTCAAAAAATTTTGGATAGGGCCGGCCCGGTGGCACACTGGATAAGTGCGCCGCTTGGGAAGTGCGGCGGCGCTCCCGCCCGAGGGTTCGGATCCCACATACAGACCGGTTCCCGCTCACTGGCTGAGCGAGGCGCGGGAGCAACACCGAGGGTTGCAATCCTGTTGCCGGTCCCCGGTCCAGTACCGGGGTAACACTGAGGGTTGCGATCCGTTGCCGGACACGGAAAAAGACAAAAGACAAAAAAAAATTTTTTTGGGATAATATTTACAGAATATATACTGGGTAAGCATACCTAATGCAAACATCAGAAATCCAAAATGCTCCAATAAGCATTTCCTTTGATTGTCATGTTGGCACTCAAAAAAGTTTGGATTTGGGAGCATTTCAGATTTCAGATTTTCAGAATAGGAATGCTCAACTTGTACCTTGGAACAGGTCCCTAACAAATGGAAAAAACAGGCATTAGGAAAGACAGGTATGTTACTACATAGAAGAAATTAAGAAGTAAGTGATAAGGTAAAAAGAAGAAAGCTCAATTATTTAAACACCTTAACAGAACTATTTAAAATACACCAAATATATATAAATACTAGACAAAAGAGTTTTTAAAAACTGACATTTTTAGCTGGCTAATTAGCTCAGTTGGTTAGAGTGCTGCCTTGCAACACCAAGGTCAAGGGTTCCAATCCCTCTACCAGCCAACCATCAAAAAAAAAAAAAAAAAAAAGAAAAGAAAGAAAAAACTGACAGTTTATATTCCTACACAGCAATCTTACATTTAGGTTATCTCCCATAACAACTATTTTAAAATATACATGTGATAATCTGAAGAGATACTGGGGACAGGCAGCAAGTCAAATTAATTTGTGGCAGGTAAGTAGAAACAAATAAACAGTTTTCTTTACACATTCAAGAAAAAAAGAAATAGCTAATACACAAACAGAAAAATCTAAGACCAACAAGAAGTTTTATAACTGAAAACTAGTTGAGAAAGCCTCAGCTAGAAGTAATCATATGCAATCCTTTTAGGAAGAGACATTTGGCAGAAAGAGTTAAAGAGTTCCTTCTGTATCCCTGACAATGTTTCAGAAATTTCTAATCAAAACTATGCTATCAGTGTAGGTTAATACTACTACTAGTACATACTTACTAGTTACATAAGTTATTTAATATATTAAGAGCTTTTAAGGAATGTCAAAGTGATAAATAAGTTCCATTTTCAATAAGGTTATAATTTATTAATCCCATTATTATAATGTTTCAAAAAACGCTGTATCCACATATCCCCTTTCTTTTTTGTATATTTGTTCTTTCTAATTTTGACCAAAAAAGAAATATTCATTTAAAAAAAATAATAATTCTTTCATGTGTATAGTTGGTTTCATTACTAATCAGAATTTCTTAGGGGATTTAATATTATCAATATTTTTCGCAGCTGCAATTAGTAAAGTAGATAAGGATATAGCAACTTTTAAGGAAAGCAATATCCAAAGGTTTAACTGTCATATTAAAGTGAAATGTATCATTCTCATTCAATTACAGAAAAGAGTCAAAAGAAAACAGAAAACGTTCTATGACTGTTACTAAATAGCATAAATTAGCATCTCTCTCCCCTTTCCTTCATTTCTTCTCTACCTCCTCTAGAAGATATAACTGCTAATATATACCAAACAGGACTGAATCTCAGACTTCTAAACACAACTGCTGAGAGGTCACACATGAATATCTTCTATCTCTAAAGCATCTCCTCTGATATCCAGGCACTGAAGCTGGAAATACAACATTTATTCTTGACACAGTGGTCTAATTCTGACTCATCCTTTAAGACACAACTCCGGAGTCACTTATTCTAGAACAAGCCATTCCTTGACCTATTTCCACCCTGTCTGGGATGAGTGATGCTCCTCTGTATTACCAAAGCACATGATTCTATCAGAACACTTACCACATTGTATTCTCTACTGAAATATTTGCTTCTGTCACCTAATCTGCAAACTCCATGAGACCATGTATAATACAACTTACTATATAATGCAGTGAACTAAAACAGTGTAAGCCTGATCAAGGGAAAAAGTAATATTTGTACTTCTGAACATACAGTGACTATCTGGATAACCTCATGGAGAAGGGTTTTTGAACCACTCATATCAGAATCACTTTGAGATTAGGTTAAAAGATGAAGATTTGTGATCTCACTTAAGACCTATCTTAAAGATCCCTACTGTTCGTTATGTATTTGTAAGACTGTAAGAAGTACCATTCCATTAAATCCTATAGGGCAGTGCTGGCAGTTCTGTGTTAGGCCATATATGAAATTTCATCTTACTTAAACCTTTCAAAAATCTTATGAGGTTGATATTATTTATAGATGAAAAAAATGAGGCTCAGAAATATTGGGTAATTTACTAAAGGTCACATTAGTAGTAAATGGTATAGCTGAAATTCTTTTTTTTTTAAAAGATGACCGGTAAGGGGATCTTAACCCTCGACTTGGTGTTGTCAGCACCACGCTCTCCCAAGTGAGCAAACCGGCCATCATTATATAGGGATCTGAACCTGTGGCCTTGGTGTTATCAGTACCACACTCTCCCAAGTGAGCCACGGGCCAGCCCATAGCTGAAATTCTTTAAACTGTTTCATTAAATGCCAACTAAACAAGCTTCTGGGAAAATCTCAAAATTGGGTAACCACCATCACATGAAGGCAACAGAACATAAAATAGCAAGAACAGCTGAAGCTATGGCAAATATTTGGTTCTTCTCTAGAACCAAGGTGTGGAAACCCGAAACCTGATGTCTAAAGAGAAAGTAAATCTATATAATACATATTTCGGTAACACTGCTCACCCTCTTTCACTGTATCACCACAGACATGAGCACACAACATTTATAGTGTCTGTTGATATTCCTTGCTCAAAGTATTTTTACTAAAATTTTTCAAGAATGGAACTTGGAGAAAGGGGGAGGAAATGTTAGATCTCCATGCCTACTACTTGTAACAGTCACCTTTTCAGAAATGAGAGAAGACTGTTCTTTAGAAAAAAAGGAGGTGGTGGAAAATACACATTATGGGACAGAGAAGGGAATCCCAAGGATAAAATGAAAGGTACATAGGATGACAGAAACTAAATTTCAGGTTTGCTTTTTCTTTCTTTCTTCTTTTCTTCTACGTCAGAACAAACCTATCAGAAGAGGAATGGGATAGTGGAGGAAATATGTAATCAATATTCAGTTATCACCAGGGAAAAGGACAAATGACAGAGAGATTCTGGAAAATGGCAAGAACATTTTATAACTGTGGTTTCCTGTAGTGTTTAAATGGTATTACAAGTCCTAATTTATATACGAGAACATACAGATAAGTTGAATAATGTTCTCAAGTCACACAATGCTAACATAAGAGCTAGGAAAGAAGGTATCAATACTATGCTCTTTCCAGTGCAAGTGCAGTCTTCATCTCTACCTTCCTGGTTCCTAAAATCAGGAGCACTGATTGGCTGCACTGTGTGGCTGTTACACTCATCCCAAGATATTTTAATTGCAAACATCTGTTTTGTATTTACTTTTTAGATTTGGGAACTCTTGGATATTTCTGGTCTGACAAATAATAGGGATTTCATGTTACTCCCATTTCTTCAAACTCAAGCTCAATTTCTATTTTCTCTCAGACCAAAAGTAGAACTTGATTGTTCTTTCTCCAGGTCCCTATTTCTTGAGCACTACTTGTTTTTTTTTTTTGTTGTTGGTCTTTCAGAGAATGATTTAATGTACATAAAGAACACTATCATGGATCTATGAGATATGTGAAATACTGGATGAGAAATTTCACTTCCTAAAAATATAATGTCCTTATCTGTAAAATGAAGTGATTAAGCCAAATGATCTCTAACGTATTTTCAAGATATTTCATTACATGATCTATTTATATTAGTGGATTCTCTCCAGGACATAGTACTCTGGAACAGGAATTCTAAATGCCAAAGAAATGTGTTCTCAGCAAATTACCCAGGTCAGTAGTGCAAAGATTGAGGCTGACCGGTTAGCTCCATTGATTACAGCATGGTGTTTTAACACCAAAGACAAGGGTTCAGATCCCCACACTGGCCAGCCACCAAAAAAAAAAAAAAAAGGGCAAAGGTTGAGTAGTCCAGGTGCCTGGCACATCCATATTCCTCGGCTCAATAGAAAAGCCCATAAGCTCTCTTCCCTAAATTGGCTTCCCACCATGTCCTCCTAATTACTGGTCTTTTTAGATTCCTCAAATGAATAAAAGATACCTGTTCCATGCTTCCAGACTTTTGTATATACTTGTACATCTATCATTGTCCTTATATCATATGACATATTTAAAAATTATCAGCTCTAATATTTTCTAGAACACAGTTAGACATAAATAGGTGAAATAATTTTCTTTCTTTTATTCATTTCTGTAAACCTGATTGGTCCCAAGCATAGTGATTGTCATATATGTGTAATATCATAAGAACTACCACATATTTAAATCCAATAGGGCAGTACCGGGTGTTATATTAGAGTATATACATATATATATAATCTTTTAACAACCCTATGAGGTTGTTAATATTTATAGATGAGGAAAATGAGATTCAAAGATACCGAATAACTTACTAAAGGTGACATTGGTTGTAAATGGTACAGATGAAAATCAAACCTAGGACTCTTGACTCATAAAATGCTGAATAAATGAAGTTTTCCTTCCTGATAGTTTCAGTGATATTCCAGATGGTTTCAATGACATTGGTTTTCTATCAAATGACTCCAAATTAGAATGACAAAAGTAAACATAGGCAATTACCTTACCTTTAAATGAAATCACATACATACCAATGCTAATATTGCTGATTTATCGACAAGGGTTTTTTCCCATACTAATACATGGGAGGAGAAAATCAATGCACACATAAGCATTTAGAAAATTCTTATCATGGGCTGGCCCGTGGCTCACTCGGGAGAGTGTGGTGCTGATAACACCAAGGCCATGGGTTTGGATCCCATATAGGGATGGCCAGTTAGCTCATTGGGTGAGCATGGTGCTGACAACACAAAGTCAAGGGTTAAGATCCCCTTACCGGTCATCTTTTATTAAAAAAAAAAAAAGAAGAAAAAAGAAAATTCTTATCGTTTACTCAATGACTGTCTACTAAATACAAAGTACTTTAACGTGCTCAATTCGTAGGACCAATCTCAATCTCCCTGACTTAGTTCTCTAGTTTTTTCCTGGAATGTAGCTGCAGACTGAGTGATATATAAAGAGAACTAAGTTGACCACAGGGATACTCCTAATTCAGAGCTCACAATATTGTTAAATTCACACAAAATACTGTACATAAAATAGGTTTTAAAGAAATATAAATTTCTATAAGCAAAGCTAGAAGAACAAATGTAAAAGCATAATTTACTAACCACACAAACATCTGCCTGTTTGCATGAACAGGTTGGGCTGATTAATAATTCCAATTGTGACCGCAGTTTCTCATCATCACCAAGAACCTGGTTAAATTTCTTCACAAAATCCTGTGCTTTCCCAGGGTCAGGCAAATTCTCTACAAAATTAAAAAAGAATCAATGAGGGAAAAAAATCTACTCTACTAAACTAAAAGCAAGTGTCTTAAATATATTGCCGAGCTATTAAAAAAATCAGCCTAACTGGCTCTTAGAAATAAAATAAAGATAAGGATTACTTTCTCTTATTTAGCACTGAATTGATATTCCCACTAGGTAAATTATTTGTCTGTTTTGGTATTTATTATACATTTACTAAGTAGATAAACATACTCACTTGCTATGGTCATCAGTTTTCCAAACATGGCAGAGCAGTTAGCCTCTGACTGAAATTTAAAACAAAAACAAAGAACAACCAGTCATATATGTTAACAAGTTTCTGTAAGAAAAATCAATACTCCTTCTTGTACATATTTCATAAAGTTAAAAAATCATCACAATCTGCCCATTGGAAAATGGCTTACCACATCTACACACTAACTTGACAGCAAAGAATTGTGGAGTAGCAACAACTATTAAGTTAAGATAAATAGAAGAAACAGAAGGTATTTAAAATTTAAAGGAATACATAACTTTCACAGAAAAGTCATTTTGCTAGAAGATTGAAAAGATAAATAAAACAATTAACATAAAATTATCATATCAAAATTACTGTGAAACTACAAACCACAGAAAATTAACTAAAAATTAAGAGCAGGAAATTTTTCTTGTGGAATAGAGTTTTACTAGCTATTTTGTGATCCATTACTTAAATATTCTCAGAATGATCGGCCCTCCAAAAAGCACTTCCCTTTCCTCCATCAATAATAAATTAACACTTTATTATTAGTTTTTTTTTTTTCCTTTTTGTCTTTTTTACTGACCGGTACAGGATCGCAACCCTCGGTGTTGTGCCCGCGCCACGCTCAGCCAGTGAGCGGGAACCGGTCACCACATGGGATCCGAACCCTCGGCGGGAACGCCGCTGCGCTCCCAAGCGGCGCACTCTTCAGTGCGCCACCGGGCCGGCCCAATTATTAGTTTTAATTTATATTAAATTTGAATAATTTAAAACAGAGGTTAGTAAACTATAGCCACATGGGCCACATGTCTTTGTTAATAAAGTTTTGTTGGAACACAGTCATGTCCATTCATTTATGTATTGTCTATGACTGCTTTTGCACTACAAAGGCAGAAGTGAGTAGATGACTAGAGACTGGATGGCTAGCAAACCCTAAGTTTTTACTATTTGGTGATTTGCAAAAAACGTTTGCCAGCCTCTGCTCTAGCATCCATGGGTCCTTGTGGTCCCCTGGTTAAGAACACCTACTCTAGCAGATATACTTGTAAGTTCATTGAGAAAATTCAAGTTTTTCTCCCCACTTTCCAAAAAACTTTGGGTAGAATTTGTTAATTTGACATTGGCATATTTATAGGACTGATACCCTATATCAGCTATACATTGAAGGACAAAGAATCATGGAGTGAAAAAAAAATGTGATTTTCAATATAATTTGATCTTGAGATTTAATTCTAATTATTTGAAAATTGGTAAACTATGTATCAACTCTTAGTGTTTAAAAACTTGGTAAACCATGGGTCGGCCTGTGGCTCACTTAGGAGAGTGTGGTGCTGATGGCACCAAGGCTGTGGGTTCGGATCCCTGTGTAGGGATGGCCGGCTGGCTCACTTGGGAGAGTGTGGTGCTGATAACACCAAGTCGAGGGTTAAGATCCCCTTACCGGTCATCTTTGGTAAAAAAACAAACAAACAACAACAAAAAACTTGGTAAACCAGAAAACACAAATTCTTTTGCTTGGACAACCACAAAAATTATGTTTAACTAACATCTGGAAAATAAAACACCTGAGATACCTTTTCCTTGCTTCATTATATAGAACTACAGAAAAACTGGATGACAACTAAAACTATGAATTTAAACAAAATATGAACCTACTGTAGGCTGCTTGTGCAAATCCAATAATTCACGTACATGACTCCGAAGCATGTTCTGACACTTCCACATTTCATTTAGAGCTCTGTAAATAAAGATATGAATATGAAAAAATACATTACATGACAATACTGTAAACTATTCAACTTTACAACTTTTCTTGTTGGCATGGTGTATAACACACCATTCTTCTATATCTACCCCAAATTTTTTTTTTCCTTTTTGTCTTTTTTCATGACCGGTAACGGGATCGCAACCCTCGGTGTCGCGCCCGTACCGCGCTCAACCAGTGAGCGGACCGGTCTCTATATGGGATCCGAACCCTCAGCGGGAGCGCCGCCGCGCTCCCAAGCGCCGCACTCTACCGAGTGTGCCACTGGGCCGGCCCTACCCAAAATTTTAAGCACCAGAAAATTTACCTGGATTTAAGACAGTTTAGAATAAATGGTAAATATAAGGCTTCTTATGAGAGAAAATATTTGAGAAATTTAGAAAGATCAATAGGATCTTGCCAGGTAAATAAAAGGATTGAAAGATATTCTAAACAAAGGTAGCTAGAAAATTCTGGTATGAGGAAAAATAGAATGTCATCAAAGTGCATGACACATAGAAAACTGAAAAACACTTTTATGCTTGGAGCACAGTGTGTGAGTGGGGAGCATAAGAAAGCTGAAGCATACTAAAGACAAGGATTAGATCATGAAGGCCTTTTTACGCCAGGCTAAGGAGTGGCTATTTTAAAAAAAGGAAATTTATTAGAAATGATGCAGATTCAGGACACTAAATTTAAATTGATTGTGTTTATTCTAGACTCTTCTCTCTCCAAGAACTCTGATTTTTTCCTGTCAAAAATCCCCTCCATACTTCCAACTGTGCAAAGCACCTCTGAGAAAATTACTCTATCTCTGAATACTCTTTGACAGATATTTTGAAATGTAAATATTAAAACCTTAAGCCGTAAGTTTATTACCTGGAGTGAGCATAAGTAACCACTTGTAAAGCTTTTTAAAAATGATGGCTAATGGGCCGGCCCGGTGGCGCACTTGGTAGAGTGCGGTGGCGCTCCCGCCGAGGGTTTGGATCCCATATACAGACCGGTCCGCTCACTGGTTGAGTGCGGGGTGGGCGTGACACTGAGGGTTGCGATCCCGTTACCGGTCACGAAAAAAGACAAAAAAGGAAAAAAAAAAAAAAAAAAAAAAGATGGCTAAGGCTTACTGATATGCACCAAGGCCACAAA